CCTCGATTTTCGTTGTAAAATGATTGTACCAGTGTTGAACTCGTTTTACATACTCGATCCTGACTTGTTTAGTCAATATTTGATGCTACTCTTTTGCCTTCTCCATGTTGTCGGACTGAAGCTCTTCCTTTCTGGTCCGGATTGTCTCCTTGGAATGGCTGACAGATCTGATAGTTAAAATTTATATTTTCAGTCTAGACTTAGTGTGTTCAAATTTGTATTTTCAGTCACAACACTGCATAAATTTATCAGTCACCATTACAGACTCCACTTTTTACTTCCCTCTGCATCTTAAATATAGATGGAAGTGGGACGTATTGGTAGACTTCTGTCCTTCCATCACATTCTGCATGTGCTCAAGCGTTGAGCATTTGCGTTTGTTGACAACGTTGACCTTAGCTGTTGTGTTGAAAGTACTCCTTCGATTTTGAGACACAGAATATCCCCATGCTATGAAGAACTTGCAGAATTTTTGTCCAACTGTTTGTTTTTAGGCGCCTTTCTCTTGTTTGAAAATTCTAAAGGTTCTATTTAACGCATTTCACTTCGGCATGACAAAATGACCCCTCGTGACCTCCTTTACCACAGTGTTGTCACTCGTTGCCTGAATGGGCAGAACTGAACGAACTGGTATTTGTAGCAAAATTAGTAAACAAATAGTATTCTGGATTACTAATGAATGTTCCGCTTTGGAGAATTTTATTGATAACAATAGTCTGAATTACTGATGAACTCGATTTGTTTCATTCCACTTTCAATTTTGCCGGGAAGACAAAGTCAAATGTGAGCGTCTTTCGAAGGTTGATGACCACACACTTGGAGAATACCTTTCACCACATTACTTTCCGCATTCTGGAGTTCAGCTCTTGCGAATTCACTGTTTAGAGAACCTCAGAAGTTTACCAGTTCTCTTGCCTCTAGAATAATTTACAACCCGCGTCTTTTATTGTTCAGTGAAGTTTAGTAATAATTCAGTGGCTTCATTGACTTTAGGCAATTGGTTTTTTTGGGGAGTGGGAGTTGGGGGGTGAGAATTGAATAGGTTTTTTAAATGGGATTTGAATATATTATCATCATTGATCACATCTCTGTTCGGAATATGTCCTCGTATTTCGAAGCTTCGTCATTTTCTCCTCTTAAAAATTACTTATTTACCTCCATTGATTGATATTGTCTGTGATGAGGCCTAATTGAATGGAAAAGAATTTCCCTATCCTTAGATTTGCTTAAGGCTTTTCAAAATTGTCGTGTTGTTTTTGTTGTAGGAGGTGATGTTAAAACTTGCCAAGTGTAATGGACAAGTGTTAATTTATTGAAGAGTCTTCTGGTTGTTATGAAGCTTTTGTTGTGAGCTTGTAGATGACTGTGCCGTCTCTTGCAACTTTCAGCTGCCCTTTACTAGAACTCTATCTACTCCATAATCTTCGTGAAAGACAAGTTGAAGATATATTGCCAGCGATAAACATTTATTAGTGACATAAATATCTTAACATCAGTAGTTTTCTAATTCAATATAGCCGTCTTTCTGAGTATTTCCGATTTTGTTTATCAAGCATAGCTTTAAAATCAAATTGTTCTGCGAACCATGGTCATTCACCCCTCATATGACCTAACTACTCCTCGTAATTCCTTTCACATGTAGAGAAGATAAAAATTTCGAACCCAGCCCATTTACTCCTGCACTTCGTTGGAATCGGCCTGACAACTGTGGACCAATTGCCAATGGTAATTGATGTGCATTTACTCTAACTTTAGTAATAGTTACAATTGAATTGTTGCCTTTTATCTCTCCTCACAATGTATTATTTATCGTATATGGGAAATCGTTTCTGCAGCATTTGGCCTTTCATTCCTGTAGAAGAATGGGGCTTGTAAACAAGCATTTTTCGATGTTTAGTTTTGTTAGAAAATTTCCAAATTATTGGAACTAAGACGAACAGCAGCTGAAATTAAAGTTCGAGTTTGCTAGAGAAGGTGAGAGGGTGGATGATTGTTAGTCAAAAGGGGCGAAGACAAAGTTAAAGGAATGTGGAGTGATCACGAGAATCGAAGGTCTTGTAATCAATGTATTGTTGGAATCTATAGGCAAAACCATATAGTCTTGAAGGGGACTAGTCCGCTTCACTAATAAATATTCTGCAACTAAAACTTTGAAAACAATTTTAAAAAATGTAAGGTTTAGACATGGGTGGTTATTAATGCCGATGTACCTTGTGTTAATAAAATGTTTGATGTTTTTTGGGTGTTTTCCTGTTGTCTTTGACTTTCTCCAAAGTGTTTATCTATTTCAGATTATCTCACAGTTAAGTTTTTTCTTATCTATATATCGTTTTGAAGTGATGAGTGTTAACTTGTGTAAGCCATGAATTTATCTTAATCATATAATCCCGTTTGAATAAGTGACATCACAATGGAGTCTCTAAACAGTTGAGTGCGTCAATAGTAAGTAGTTGTTAAAATCTCTGATTTAACGGTTCTGGTTTCTTTTGATTGAGAGGGTATTTCGCTGTCGTTCATTTCCCTATCTCCATAAATGCTGAAAATCTATGAGTCCTGCCTCTACCTGATTAATTTTCCACTAGGTTTGCAATTCCCCTAATCTTTTAATATGAATTTATGCTATTTTGACCTACAGTTGTTATATCTTCCTGGAATCCGAAATTACTTTCTCTCTTCTAGACTACCTTTCATGTAAAAGGCATCTCTACTGCAGAAATTTCCATTTGCGTAAGATTATAAAATAGTTTAATCCACACATAAACAGTAGACCTAGATGCATTTTTTGTGATCTTTCCTAACTCTGTATGTTGCAATTAATAGAAATGAACGAGGCCACATCAAGTGTGCACCACCTGACCGAGTTGCAGGTTGCCTCCTTGCCTCCCATGGCCTTATCAACATCCGAACCCGAAGCACAGGAATGTGGTCATCCGAGTATGGATCTCCTCAGATCTCCCTAGGTCCTACGGCCTCCGTCAATGATCCAGCATCGGCTCCGCTCCACAGCACACCTCTTCGTACCACTCAGATGGCGTCCAGCCTTCGGGTCGAGCCTGATCCTCGTCATATGACGGAACTCTCCCTTATCGATCGATACAAATCTGAGAGTAATCTCTACCAGTTGAGTTACTTGGATGACTCTGATGAAGAGACTGATCGAGATACGAAAAAATCGCTTCTTTCTTCTCGTCCAACAAGTGAATTGAAATCATCGGAATTACCCGCTGATTTCGAAATAGCTCCTAAATCTGATAAATGTCCTCTTGATGCTGTTCGAAGATTTTTAGTCGAAATCAACGGGAAATCAACTTCAGACGCTGTTTTTGACTTCATTCAAGTCCTTGCGAATGACTTTGCGTTAATAAGTGAAGAAGAGGGTTATAGAAACAATATACCCTATCCCCCTGTTAGTCAATTTGTTCTAGATATGCTTGATTATCGTCTTGGTCTGAAGGGTGCTCTTGAAATCATTCCACCAATCTCGCCTCTTAGACGGCAACGTCCCTCTCCTCAAATAAGTAATCTTGAGACTGAGTATGACTTCGATAGTCTCTATGGAAACGAACTACCGGAATTGCCCTTTCGATCGACTTTTGGTCAAAATTCCTCTCCGCTTCATGTCTCCTCACAAAATATTGGTCCATTTCTCACCTGCTTAATCAGTCGAATTGGTAGAATGCATGAGAATTGCCTCTATACCAATCTATTGTTAACGGATATTGTGTTGATTCTCGCTAGTTTTCACCAATTTCCACTGGCCGATGTGCTCCTTAGATGTCCAGAACTGCCTTTTAAATCATCAAATCAGTCCCTCTACCAGGTATCTGACTAACATCTCTTCTTTTCTTTCCATATTTCGTCCTCGATCTATACATAAAGCGGTTTTTAGGTCCTAAGTTGTCTGAGGCGTGAGTTGGAGAAAAAATTGTCCAGGATTCCTGACTGGCATTCTTTGGTCGATCAAGCTATGCGATTTCTAAGAGGACAAAATCTGCGAAATCCTGAGGTTGCGTTGCCATCTCCAGTGGCTATGGCTGCTACGCCTAGCTTTGCATCCGACGAGGATATTCTAGCAATGGGTTTGTTTTCACTTATATATTTGGGTCTTGGTAGATTTAGGAATCGATTTTTCAATTATCTGACTTCAATCCTTCACTCCGTAACTGGATTTACTAGTAAACAAATTAGAAATGCTAAATTTTTCGTTTAAAATACTTTCGATTGTTAAGATAGGAACTTTTTTGTTGCCGATGCATTTCATCTTGATATCTGCTGAAATTTATTTATTTATTTCAAATGGCAGGCGTTTTGATAGTTACCATTAGCCCTTTAGCTGACTCCGGGCTTCATATAGGGAAGGAACTTCATAGTGAGAAAAATTCGAGAGGGGGGAACAGAAGAGTAATTCACAGGTGTAAAAGACAGACAGACAAAAAGGCGGAGAAGAGGTAGGATGAGTACTGTTCAAGTGGTCGGAGATGACATACAGTGAAGTCATGGTAGCTTGAAGTGAGAAGTCAACTCCCGGTTTATAGTCTTTTGTGCCGTATGAGTATACGTTGCCCGGGGTGCACCACGTGAAGGTAAGTCTATCGCACACCCCTGTCTGGAATAATAATTTATATATTTTTGAATTCTGTATACAAGGATTTCACTACTTCAAGGAGGTTAGTCAATATTTTTGTAAAATTATATACTGATCAACCGCGAATTTCAGCATTTTCCCTCCAATTTTCCTATAATTCACTTTGACAATCTTTGGAGTATAAGACTGGTTCATACAGGTGTATTTTTAGGAAGACTAATGTCTCCATCTATGATCTGAGTGCCAACTAGATATTTCCAGGCTAACGTTGAATCTGATAAGGGAATTCGTGTTTAGAGGAGTTTAAGCCCATATTTTTTAATTTTTTAAGAGTTAATCCACTCCCCATCAATGATACCTTTGTTCGGGTTGGTTATCTGGATATAAATTAGCATTTAGATTTGGTTAATGTGCTCCTTGCAATTGTATGACTGCTCTTCCATCCCCTTTATTAGGCAAACTATTCCAGTTTTTACCAAAACCCCTCCGAATTTCGTTACCCTAGCAATTGTCTACTCGGATCACTCGGTGTACTAATGGGCATTGAGTTCGTGACCTCTGACTTTAAGAACGAGCATAATAACCACTTAGCCACCAGCAAACTTGAAATACGTTCTCTTTCTTGCTATTTGAATACCGGTTTATTTCCAAATTCATTGAAGAGGAGCGTATTTCATCACCATATTTCGCAACACGGTTATTGAAAAATCAATGCAGTTAGTCTTTTCGTTTACTAAAAGTACGTCGATCAGTATTCAGTCCATGATCACTCCAATAACGACACATAAGAAATTGAAGTACCTAGTGGGTCTTACATATGACAGTAATGGACCTAGTTCTCAAAGCTTCTCAAAATGAAATATTGTGAGCCTTTTTATCAGCGGTTCACTTCACTATATGGGTTCTTTGGTACCTGGTTTCTTCGTAAGTTATTTATTCCTTAAATGCAATTAGGCAATATTTTAAAACTCACTTAACTGTGTCCTCTTATCTTTATTAAACTTTTAAAAAGGAAGCTTATAAGACCTGCCTGGCTGGTTTCTTCCAGTTATAAATTATTCATTTATCTTTATACCCTTTTTAGTCTACAATTGTTCTCATTTATTGTGAATATTCGAATCTGCTGTCTTATGTTCTCATTAATTTGAACAATAATGTCAAGCTTTCTGCTGCCTTGAAGTGCTCTCCCGTTTTCATTTAGATCGCAGTCGTACTTCCCTTCGTGCGCCATCAACACCACAATTATCTCAAGGTCGTTCTCCCCTGCCCACTCGTCCACCTGTGCCCTCCATGGTACATCAGCGTTCCTCTAGTGCAGCTCCTCGAACGGTTGTCTTAGAGCCCACTGTGGCGATCCATTCACCTCCCCCCAATAAACCGACCCCCCAGTCGCGCTCTCGCCCCCCACGTCGCTCTTCCATCGATCGCCTTTCCCACCTCCTATCTCATCTTGGTTCACCTATTTTGCCTCACAATCCTGATTTACAAACTCCCCCTTCCAGACCACCTCCTCCACCAAATCCTATTCCCATGGGCACGCGCAATCTCATCTTCGCATATGTTGTTTTTAGCGAATTCTGTCTGGAGTTAGCTGCTCTGGCTTGCGAACATGAAGTGTCTGCAGCGAGTGTTCAGCCGCAGTTTGAGAAAACCCTAGACCTGGAGAGGTGTTTAGCGGAGTTTTAATTATTGTATTGGGGTAGTTAGCGTATCTCTGTCTTTCTGATCGCTTTATTTTTTGATCTTATTATAATGCTATTAAGATGATATCAATCATTATATTAAATATAAGAGCATGCTGAATTCGAGTGATCGTTTCCTCAAAGGTTTCAATAGATGGCTACGTTGGTAATTTGATAATGTTCTCCTTGAATACGAAACCAATCTTGACCTTGCAATCATATGTCCGTATACGTTATACTGATCTTTTAATTCGGACCTCCTACCAATCATTTCTAATTTAAATCATTTCTGGTAAAGAAAATTATGAATTCATGTTTCCCCACTTTATTAAATTTGATCTGTCGTGAATGGTGTTTGACTAAAATCCATTCTTTTCTGTTTATTTTTACAAATCCTAACTGTAATAAGACAAATCGAAGGCCTCCGGCATCAGAAAGATACAATTGGATATTCAATAAGAAAAGAATGTCATATATTTAGCATTGGGGGGCGAAACCACAGTTCGCAAAGAAAAACTAAATTAAATCCACTCCGACGACGTGTAATGCCACCATCGCAATGAAACACGGGGTGTGAGGTTATTCTCTATCTGTCAAATATCTGGCAGCTATTTAACGGTAGTAGTGGATAAAGCCACTCAAATCGTAACTAAAGTGGTGTAAAATAGGCCAATAAATGGTGTGTAGTGAAAAGAGTTCTCTGCCGACTGCTAAGGTTCTCATTGTCTCACTCTGCAATCTTTTCCGTCCGATTCTGATAAGTATTTACGTTCCGCCGATTGGGGAGTGTCAACATATTTGGGGTTAGCGATTAATTTCAACTGAGTACTCTCGATTGTCACACATATGACGTATAATAAGCATAGTTTAAGATGAATAAGCTAATTCGGTATTGAAAAGCCTCAACAGTTAAAAACAAATTATATTAGTCAGATTTTGAGTAGAACGTGTTAATTTCAACTACTTAGACGGGAGAAGCAGTGCTCGGGGGGTATTCTTTACTTAAGGAAAAGGAAGTCGAACCGAGAGATTTCAATCATGAAATCAAGTACCTATCTGGCGTAGTTGCAGTAAGATTGTTAAAATTTCACAATCTGATATTGGTGGGAGCGTTTGGTTGGGCTCTAGCTTCCATGCTATGTGAGCGAAATTGAATTAAATTCCAGGCAAATTTACTAATTGCCTAGAGCGTACATCTGCCTTAATTTGACCTTTTGAATTGTCAGTTGGTATTAGATGGCAAATGGCTTCTTAAACTGCTCGGGACATCATTGTGGAAAGTGTGGCTTTGAGTTCTCAGCAAGTAAATCAGCAATCCTTGTATCGGTTTGAGCTTGTTGCCACCCTTGATCATCTTTGCATTTGAATGACCTTTGTATTCCATGGCGTTCTGGTGATGCTTGAGCACTTGCACATATGGAGAGATCATTTTATAAGGCGTCAATTTACAACCAGCTAGTAAGTACTGGTTTAATAATCCTTGGTACTTAGGTAAGGACTTCGCAAATATTTGCCATATCGGATTGCAAGGAAATATTACTTAGGTTGACTTCTACATGCTATAATCCAAGATCTCTTGCATCTCATTTGAAATCATCTTACGATGTGCTTGTGTTGAATTTTCATTGTGGGGGGGGGGGGGGTAAGCATTTATTAGTGGCAAAAATCAGAAATTGAGGATTTCTATCTTTGCTACGCGACGGCAATTTGTCACATTGCTGATTCAGCAGACATTGAACCGACAACTGTTTATTATTTTTAAACGCTCTGTTTATATTCGTTATAAGATTGCTAGTCTCTCAACCACCAGTGACATCTGGAATCATTTCGCTAGGTTATTTATCTTAATTTGCTTATTTTGTAGCGGTTTGCTACCTTAGTAAAGCCTGACTGAGTCAGAAATCTCTATGACAGATCCTCCTGACTCAGAAATCTCTTTGGCAGATTCTCCTACATCTAGACCGACTCAGAAATCTCCATGGCAGATTCTCAAACATCTAGCTACCGGCTCAGAAATTTCTATGGCAGATTCTCCAACATCTAGCTAGGAATCAGAAATCTCTATGGCAGATTCTCCAACCTCTAGCTAGAGAACAGCTAAGCTATAGCTCAGCTATAAAGAAAACAGACGTGTAGCACGGAGCGCGTTTACCAGCTAAGCTATAGCCCAGCTATAAGGAAAACAGACGTGTAGCACGGAGCACGCTTATTCAGTACGGATTCAGACGTGTAGCACGGAGCACGTTTTTTCAGTACGGGTATCAGACGTGTAGCACGGAGCACGTCTATTCAGTGAGCATATTACGAACCAGCTAAGCTATAGCCCAGCTATAAAGGAAACAGACCGAAACTAGCTAAGCTATAGCCCAGCTATAAAGGAAACAGACGATAATTCGGAACACGTATATTCAGTCACGTAATGATCAGAAAAGTGTGCACGGAGCACGTTTATTCAGGACGTATCTTGCGGATCAAGTGGGAGCACGTTTATTCAGGACGTATATTGCGGATCAAGCGTACACGCAAGGAGCTACTCATGATCAGGATGGGGATTAGGTTAAACAAACAGTGGTTGATGATTGGTCACTGTTTGTACGGTCGCTGCACACAGAGGTTCTAGTGATTGGCCACTGTTTGTACGGTCGCTGCACACAGAGTTGGCCGTACCTCCCAATCCTGGCAGCAGACATGCAGGCATACGATGCACTGTACGGTCGCTGCACACAGAGTTGTACGGCCGCACCTCCCTCCTGGTCGCTGCACACAGAGTTGTACGGCCGCACCTCCCAATCGTACGGTCGCTGCACACAGAGTTGTACGGCCGCACCTCCCAATCCTGGCGAGCAGACATGTAAGCATACGATGACGCACACAGCGATAACGTGTCCCGCAATTTCATTACAGACTCCATTATAAATTAGCACAATTCTAGAGCACATCAACTTTTCTGATACCCTAACACTTTTACGACGGCTAATTTCATTGTTAGAAAGCAAAAAATGCGGCTGCCTGAGCAGCAAATTCACAAAAAGCTAGTAGTGGTTGTGGTCATTGATCCGAAGTCGTCAACGCGGGATAAAGTTACTTACAAAACTTAGGAAAAGTCAAAATGGACAATTGTGTGAATACATGGGAGGCAACATTAGAGTTAGTGGGGAGTCTGAATTGAAGTACTTGGCGCCACACAGCTGTGGCATTTCAAGAAACAACTTTATGGAAGTAAGATGGCTATCAATTTCGAAAAAATATTTATCCTTAATCATATAAAATGGAGGACTGAAATTAAGTACTAAAATCCATCTTACCGAACAAGCAGCCCTTAAAATGAGATTATCAGGCTTTGCGGAAACAGATTTTAAGGCGTGGTTATGGGATGCTAATGACTTTATAAAAATCGTTGTGGCTGCCCAATTTTCTATTCTTCTCTGCCGGTTTCAACTACACTTACTTCATTGAAGTTCCCTTGAATGCATGATATCGGATAGAAGAATTCTTGAATGAACGACACCATGATTTGCAACTTATAAATTTTTAGCTATTCATATATGGGGAAATGAAAGGAAGGAATATGTTGACAAAGTATTTCTTAGGTCCATAAAGACAATAAATGAAAAATTTTTTATATTAATAAACCATATGATCATAATGCTGAAGTGCGCTTTTTATTGAATGCAACTATTTCAGTGCAATCGATAGGTTTTTAAATATTTGCAGCAATCCATTCTTTGCTAACCCACATAATTGTTGATCTTTCCTTCGTTGCTGTTCGTCTGACTTCCCAAAAAATACTTAAAACTCGATCGAATTTCACGGTATTACATTTTCCGTCTTACTCCTTCATTCCTCCTGCATTCGTGTCCAACTCACTTCGTTGGTTCATTTCTCGTCTTATGAGGTATTCAAAAGTACTTAAACTGGCTAGGTCGGTACTATCGGGGTTTTCCGAAAATTTCTTGTCATGACACTACTTTTGGAACCAAATAATAATTATATGGTTCAGTGCATTACTGACGAAAGAGGTCAAGTCGCTTATACATATAGAGAATGGCTCGGAAAGGCATTTAAAGTTACTGTCTACTATGCTCGAACTTTTTTATTTCAAATGGCAGGCTTTATGATATTTATCATCAGCCCTTAATATTTGACTTCAGCTTCCCCCAAGAGGGGGGGGGGGTATGTATATTGCAGTTAATT